GACTCCCACACTATTGGCTCTAAAAACCTTAGTGTGCTCACAGCTAAAACTTATTGTTCATAATTTGGCCTAATATTGTTAAAGGTATAAGACAACTACAAAATAATACAAAGTATTAAGATATATAACTCAAACTCTGTCACTCAAAATTGATTTTTTCTACAGACAGAGGGTAAATTTTCTATTTTTAAAGCTTGCCTTTAAAACTGGAGTAACTCAACCCAAATCAAATATAAGTATAGAGCTACATTTTAAAAAGTTCAATTTATTTTTACAGCACTTACTGAAGGGAAAACATAATTTCATGCCTATTTGGATTCCCTTTTGCCTCTCCAATTTTTTTCCAAGTAGTCAATTTTGCTCATTAACTTTTTTCTTTAAACAAAGAAACACAGGGTCCAGGTAGAATAAAAACCAGCTCATCCATACATACCAAGTATTTTAACATAGGAATATAAAACTTTATGTCTAAAACCCATGATAACATTGGGCAGAATACTCATGCACGGTCAGATAAAAAAAATTAGAGTGGAGGAACACACCAGCCACTCACAGATTATTTGCTTTATGTCATTTTTTCCTGTAAATTCCTTTCAGTGTGTTGGACTAGAAATTGTAATTCAAAATGGAAAACCAAAAAATCTCGAAGCTCAAATCTGCCTGTAGTCCACAATATGGAATCACAAACCAGCCTTTTTTGTTATCTTTAAAAAATACAAGCATAGCATGAACTTTAGCATAAAGAGCACTGCTACATTTTAGCTATGCATGCAAAACTGTGAGGGAAGAGAGTAAAAGTCCAGTTAAAGAATTCCAGCTTTTAAAATATGTAGTAAGAAGGAAAAAACCTGTGGGACAACCACATATAACAGAAAGATATCATCACAGTATACCCAGACCTGAAATTTCTACAGAAACAATTAGGAATAACCGAGAAGTGAAACTGGTAACAATTTATTTCTTAGGCTGCTTTGTGGGTTGTGAATCTCACAGAGTTTGGTAGAATAACTTCACTGCTAAGACTCCTATGGCCAGGTAATTTCATGTGGACACTCCACAAGCTTTAGGTCTACTACGTCATATCATTCACCTGAGTGAAGCACAGCACATAAACAAGGCTCTTATGCTGCTTTTATTATTAGCACAGAGGGGAACTCAGTTGCTTTCAAGATTTTGTTTCACTTCTTAAGAATGAGCATAGGCCTCTTCATAATACAAATTTTGTTTTGAATGCACTGGAAAAGTGTATCTTCCAATATGCTACTAGATAAAAAAGGAGGTTATTCATTCTGAGAAAATATTGACAATAAAAGGTTACAATTAACCCAACACTAGAGGAAAAAACAATCAAAAATGTTCCTCTGAATATACAGCATTACTAACCCTTCCTTTGTTCATAAACGTATTGCAGCAGTTGATATAACAAGCACCTGTATTTAGTTGGTGCAAAAGGTTGTTGAAACTGTCTAAGCAGACATTTTTTCCATGCCTGATAGTGAAATAATCAATCTATCTAAATTTTCAGCAATGCCAGAAAAGCATGCAATAAGGATACACTGACTAGAGTTGCTGATACAGCTCTGGGAGGGAGGGAGGCTGCAGGGAGAGGAAATTGAGGTCTCTGTAGGTTCAGAATTAAAATTAATATTTATCTTAGTTACAAATGTTTATTTTAATTCTGAGCATATTCAGAATTAATAGCTAATTCTAAACAAAAAAAATATTCAAATACTATCAAACAGAAAAGAACTTGTGCCTGGTTCTATTTGTTTTAAAATATTATCCACGATGATTATTTTAGATATCACATTAATAAAACTGGACAGAAAAAATTTTTACCTCCAAATCTTATTTCTTAATCCTTAACTCCTTGTTAACATTTATCCCCAACTGCCTATAGCTCAACCTTGTAGAAAGAAAGAAATGTTAATACAAGACTCCTTACATTAGCCATGCAGAGTCACAAATCCTTGCATTACACTGATTTTACACAGGAATCACAGAAACACCATGGACACTACATGGAGGAAAAGAAACCCTGATGAGCTATACCAAATCATTACGTTAACTATGAAACACTCCTTCAAGATGAATCTATAATAGAATCATTATTCTACCTAGAAACAGATGTGGGGCAATTAATTTTTTTTAATTGTTGTCTTATTAGTATTTGGCATTTCAGTAGTGCCTTGGTCACTATGAAGACTGGCAGATACATCAGAGTGCTAACGTCTGTCTGAGCAGAGAGTCAAGCAAGCCAGCAGAGTTCCTGCTTCTTGAACTACTCAAACTCCCAGCACCAGGAATGTAATGACACAGCAAAGATAGTACTGATGCCTACAAAATAAGCTGAACTAAAGAATGCAGCTAGTATGCACTGCAACTGTGTTGTTGCAGCTGCCAGCTGGAGATCTCGAGATCACTCACCTGGCTTGAGAGAATCACCCTGCAATAGTCTAGTGAGCTGCCCAAGTTTAATATTTTGGTCAATGGTAGTCCTGGTTCCTTTTGCCATATTACACTGCCACCATAGCAGAAACACACCTTCATATCAGGATTAAAAGAAGTATGCTCCAGCACTGTGAAGCTAACTTCTCACATATGCCACTCTGGCTTTTGTCATTAGCCACTTTGCTAACAGGATGCAGCTGAGCTGAACCCAAGTAGCTGGATATACTGTCCCTGCCCAAGCAAAGCCAACACCAAAGCTTGCACTCTCATTGCTTGTTTCTATTGCAAAGTCTTTGGATTTATGACAACTTTCATATGTACTAATGTGAGAGGCTCGCTCTGTTCAACACAGACAAGCAAATGTCTTATGAATGGATAAAATAGCCATGTTACACACACCCATCTGGTAAGGGTAAATGGATATAGCTACAGAATGTATATAGCTACTGTATATAGCTACAAAACTATGTGCAAAATCAGAGAAAATACCCAACATAAAAATCTTCTCTCTTCATGTAACACGTACATTAAATCTGGAGAAGAGTCATCTAAATCTGCATTTAAAATATCTATAAACAGTACATGAAAAAGAATATAATCTGATGTATTTTCTAGATGGTGCAAAGCCTCTGTGCCACCTCCCTAAGCAGAGAAAGAAAAAATTATTCAGCAAGATGACAGTTCAATGCCTTTCCTTTATTAGCGCTAGAATTTTTATGTAAGGGATATGCACAAATGAGACCCACATTTTCCTGCTTAAAACATAAAGGTCTCTATTGTTCCATGTTACACCAGTACTGCTATGAAAACTTAATTTCTCCAACTTTTTTTTCCTCTTGAAGAACAGAACTACTGTTCACTTAGTTATTCCAAACAGAATGCATGCTCAAAGGGTGAGATAAGGGGAAAGAAAGAACAAATTACCACATTCATTTACTACTTTCTCCTTCTTCCTTTGATTATTTGCATGAAAGCCTCCTACAAACCCTCATAATTCATTATTTTAACCCAGTGCATACGTTCAACAGGTCCAGATATTGGTCACATCCACTAAGTTAATTTCTATGTTTGTGTAAATCCATCCCTAGTGCTAATAATACAAACCATAAACACGTAGAAATATTACTGCAGAAATAATATTTGACACTAAAACAACAGAAGAACAATGCTAAGATTACACATAAAGAGGTTAAATACAGAGGCTGGAAAAATAATAGTTTCTAGAAGGACATGAGGGTATTTCAGGAGGGCACAACTGTCATGGAGTCCCTGACCCACTGAGTCTGCTCTTCTCTTAGCACTTCCAAAATTTCAGGTAATCCATTTGATCCATTTTTCAGCAGAACTCAATGATTTTAAAGGCCTTTTCTAATCTAAATGATTCTATGATTCTATACAAGTGACTAACTTTTCTTCCATTTCAGTCCTACTGAAAGTTGTTGAAGTACCTGAGCACTAACTGCGAGAAGTTTCTTCCAGCAGAAGAGATTTACATTTATTTAGGGCCAGCTCACAAGCATAGCTTAGCTGACCACACTCTCTTTACCTTGATCCTTTTCTCCTCCCTAGAGCTTATTCACATATTTTAACAGAGAAAAAAAATCACACCCTTTTTTGCTATGCTCAGTAATCATCAACAGCTATTTAATTTCCATCATCACAGAAGATCTTTTACTGCTTAAAATAATATATTAAGGATGTGCTATGTCATTTCTGTAATAGTAATTTATGCATTCATGATTTCATTCTAAACTTAGAATTTTGTGTATTATCTAATTTAAGAGAATACAAATCAGGACAATATCAGCACATTAATATACATTATTCAACCATTACTTTTTAAAATTATTTGCAATTGTAGAAGCATCAAAATTATCAGGAACTTGGGGAAAATACTTTGCTTTGTTTTTCAGAGCAGCAAAGCTTTTCACTGTGGCCCAATACTGTCACATATAATATTATTATTATAGTTATGGAACTATTATATCATTAATACATTCATCAAAGGTTTATATTCACATATATGCTATATATATAAAACTGTGGAACTATAATGTAGATTAATACATCTATTTTATGTGTGCAAAACTAAAAATGTATATTTTCTATTTAAAATAGAAATATCTATAAAATGTGTAGATATTCTTATCTGCATATAGGTGTATTATATTCTTATATATCAATAATGTTTACCATATATAAATTTATACATACATCTATATATCAATATGTATCTATACACATTTTATATGGGTATATATGTTTATATATATGTATCTAAACATTTCATACACATATAAAATTATTCATTTTACCCTATGTCTATTTTAAGCCAAAATGAATTTCAAAGCATGACAATATAGTGTTTTTTTCAGAGCAGCATTCAACATAGTGTTCAACATGGTTAAGTGAAATATCCTATTCAGTATTACTAAGGGCTTACAGTCGAAGGCACTATTTTAGTAGAAAGATCATTAGGTTATTGAAACTTTAAAACCAAAACCAAGCAAACAAAAAAACAACAAAAAATGACACTATGAAAATCTTACCTCATACCATAAAGACTTCTCAAGAAAGGAATTAAATTTCCATTTTATTAATGACTGAATTATAGTTAGCTGTTCTGTTGTAATCCTAGAAAGCTTCAAGCCACTGTTGTTTCTCCTTTGCTCAATGTAAGTCCAAGCAACAGTTCCTATGTGTCCTGAAGGTAAAGTCCTAAAAATTGCTCTCGTTCCAGTATAAACTGATTTTTTAACCTCTTTATCGTTTTTACAGAAACGCCTTATTAATAATGTGGAACGTTCTTTTTTGTTTCTAAAAAAATCCTCTTCCAACTCTTCTTCACAGTTATCATTACAGTCCTCAAAATGGCTCAGAAAGGGCTTTGAGGGCATTCTTCCAGTAAAGTTATTTCCACAGAAGTTGTGACCTGAGCAGGCCGCTTTAACCTTGCGTGGTGCTCTTTCCAGACACAAGTACTTCTCCCTTAAAGCATCTTCGTACAACTGCTGCCCATTTTCATTCTCACAATTATTTGTCAGCTCCATTATGCTGCAAGTGGAGGCTGGGGAACCCGTGGTGTTACCATCCCCAACACTCACGGGCTGCAAGCAGTCATCCAAAATGAAGCTGTTGTGTAAACTGCACAAAGCCTTTGATATATTCCTTTCACTAGCACAATGCAAGTGAAAAAAGGCCACTTTATCAGGATCACTGCTGTCATTCTTATTTACTGCTGTCTGGCTTCTTAATGAAGGTCCATTCATTTTCAGCTGAATTTCAGCAAGCATGGCTCTTTCCAGCGAAACGGGAATTCCAGTTTCCAGACGTGCCTCTCCCCGTGCTAAAGGATCACAAGATTGATACAATTGTCTGCACGGGATATTGCTCTTGTAGTTTTTCTGTACAATGTTACAGTTAATGTTAAGAAATTCCACTGAATCAGGGATGGAGCTGTTCCTCTCCCAGAAGTTTTCATTACTCTTGTCATTAGACAGTTGTTCTTTCGCCAGAGAGAATATTTTGGGCACTGAGCCCTGCAGACTTTCTTCTTCCAGTCTGTGTAAGTATGAGAGAGCATGTGTGGTTTGCCTTCCCGGACTGGCAGTATGTCTTTTTATAACACTGGTGTCCAAAGCATTTTCAGTATTTTCATCTCCAGCTGACTGAGCAGGTATCACTTTACCCTGTACCACAGAGAGCAGAACAGACGCTGTCATCTCCTCAGAGGTCATCTTGACAGTCTGTAGCTGCTAGATGCGTGCTGGGGATGGGGGTGGGGTGTTGCCCACCAACCCTCACACCATGATTTCAGTGTAGGAACAGATTCAGTGCTAAATAACCAGGGAACACATGGTAAAATATGTTTTGATTGCTTGTTCTTGAATTGGGTTTTACAAAACAGTAAAATTTTTTACTGATGGGCTACTAGGCTTTCCTAAACTTGGCTTACTGGTGTGAAGCACTAACATTTTTAAACCAGTTTCTTATTGCGACGTAGACATTCAGCTTGTCTCTTCCCACAGTTAATTCTGCTGTCATGGGCATCACAAGCACTGTTGCTTCAGATTGTAGATGACCAAACGCATAATCCATGTCAAAGATGCATCTCCCCATAGGGCATCCAAAGAGTTGGGTTTCTGTAAAGACAAGAAATATATAGATATATTGAACAGAATCCATGGCACAAAATGCACCATTACAACTACAAAACAAAGAGAATTTTTTATGTAAAAGGAATGACCACATAACAACATGTTGTGTGTTAACTATACTGAGAGTTAACTATACTGAGGCCTAGAGAATTCCAAAATACACTTTAAAATCTATCTTAAAAATCTCTCCTGCCATTTTGGGAAATCACAGTCCTGATTTACGTATTTCAATATCTGTCTTCACTTCACTGTAGAAAGCCACAGAACTGCTGAGAACTGATTTAATATAAGCCGTAACACTGAAATTCAATGTACAAAATAAATACAAAGGGAAAACAGAAAATATCTTTTCAATATATTTTCTGTCTCATAGCCAGAATAAGTTAAAACATTTTGAAGAACAAAATCATTTTTAAGCCTAGACTGTCTTTTTTAATTACTATTTTCCAGTTCAGAACTAAAACTGTTTTGAAGTTATGTGGTTTTTGCTTTCATTGAACTTTGTTACCATGAAATCATGAAGAAAACACAGTATTTTTGCTACAAGTCTTTGACAGAAGAAGCATGAAGACAGATTAAAGACTGAAATATTATAAACAATTCTTTTGAGCCCTTTACTTCTTTGTATGCCGTCAGCTAAGAAGTTAATCTGCCCTTCAACATTGCCATTAATTCTCTGCTCCTTTCCTAAAAGCAGTATGGTAGAAACAAATCTTGGAAACAGAAAATATGAAGTTACAGATAGCTCAACAAAGGAAACCAAAGAATAAAAGACACACCCAGATAAATCTTGGTGAATTAATATTAAACAAACATAGACTTCAATTTATCATATTTAACATTGAAAAACAGTGTATTATTAAAAACCTGAAAAATGTAGAAAGTTATATTAAGGTCCAAATTTACTAGAACAGTCTAAATTCAATAGAAACAAGCAAACTAAATACAACTTTGAAACTTCAGTAGCAAAAAAAAAAAATCACAAAACTGAGGCAAATGACAAAATCATTGATTCAGCTAAACATCATAATTACCATGAAACAGCAATGCTCAATCAGTCCTTTAAGTCTACATCCCCTGACAGTCCCAATATCATTAAACTGTTCCTTGAAATTCATTTCAGTTCACTTTCTTCAAGCTTATCTCACTTTAAAAACAAACTAACAAACCAATAGCAACAACTCAACACACACAAAAAAAGGAAAGTACTACAGCAATTATCTTGTTCTACCCTTTCCCATCCCTCTTCCCTGTCTTCTTTCCTCTTCAAATCCCCAGATAACAGCTTATGTAACTTTTTGCCACTACACGCTTGACAAAAACTGCAAGTAATCCATCTAGATATGACCCCACCTTATTTCTTCTGGCAACCATTCTAGGCCTTTCAGTCCAAATCTACATGTGATGATGCTGATCAAAGAAGAAAGATCTAGGAAGAAGCAGCTGGTTTTTTATCTTGATCTCTGACTCTTAAGTTTCTTTCTTGCTAGATCAGGTAATAATGATACTTTGTAAAAGGTATAAAACATGTGTATGTATTAGTAATTGTCTTCAGTACTGACTTTTAAGATGTTTTATGAGCTATCAAAGTGTTTCAATCTACTGATTTATCTTTCCTGCTTACATCAGAATAAAATTTTTCAGACAATGGAATGAAAATACAAGCCACCACAATACATTCAAAAATGTACTCCCTGTAATTCTGCTAACCCAAGAATAAAAATTAATGGACTAGATTGTCACTGCAAATATTACACCTCTTATTGACACTGGTTGCCAAATGAAATTTTTATAAAACATCACTCAACTAGGCAAAAAGACATCATTATGCGACTTTAATGCCACACAATGATTTTGAGATCACAAAACTGACCATACATGTTAACTTGAATTCTTTTACATTGTTCTTTATGAAGAAACTTGTAATTGTATCACTGATTTGCTTCTGTAAGCAGAAATTTTCTAAAACCAGAATCCCTTTTATAACCCAGACTGTCCAAAAAGCTCATTCAGAGGCTAGGACTGGTCTTTCACAGTCCTCCTTCCTTCAATATCATTTTCATGTTCCTCTCTTACACAAAAGTGTTTCCACACATCCTCTCCAAACCGTTTCTCTTAGATCTTTTTCTTTTTCTCTACAAAGTATCTCAAATCTTCCCCAACACTGGTTCTGTTGGTCACCTCTCTCCTCCACTCCTGAGGCTGTACACCTGCTCATTTCTCTCTACCAGCATGGCTCTATCTGTGCTTGTTTGAAATCTAACTCATTGAGAATAATGTCTGCTTAAGAAGCTCCCAGTGCATGTCCAGCTGTTCCCATCCTCTTGTGACCATTGCAACATGATAGGAAACTGATCCACCTCAAGAATCTTTTACTCAAGTTACTTCACAGCTAGAATGTTTTCCCAATCCAGTTCATATATGGTTGTACTAACATGTGCTACAACAGCTCACGGGAGAAAATGAGCAGCATGGGGAAGGGAGGAAAATGCTGCTTAAGGTGGTTTATGCATTTCTGCAATTTGCAAACACAATTGAATGCTTCAGCTATCTCAGTCTAGCAGGTAGCTGCCACCAAAGCTGGCAGACTTGCTCCTTCCCTCACTCTTGACCCTTTGTCCCCCATTTCCCCGTCTCACACATCTAGAGATAGTGAGTCCACAGAGTTAAGTTGATTCAGCTGGGTGATTTGTCAGGAAAATACTCTTCTCATCCAGACTCATCCACCTTGTGGTCACATGATCACTATATTCCACAAAAAGAAACTATTAGGAATGTCCGATAGGGACCACATGTTTCAGTAGAAGCTTCAGTTTAGATCATGTTTGCTACAATGTCTAAATGCTTTTAAGTACTTTCCTCTTAATCTGTTATGTCTAGTGTATGAGCATGTAAAACCTCATGAAATAGCAAGTAAAAACCATGATGGTGGAGGTTCTGATCTATGGACAACTGCAAAAATATCTGAAGCTGTAGCTCTGCTGAACAGATGACAAGGGTTTCATGTGTCCCCCGTTACACTCTCCTCATTCTCTGCTTTCCACTGCAATCAACAGATTTCAATTCACTGTGCCCAGCAAATTCCTGAAACTGATGGAATTCATTAGACATGTTATGAAGTGCATTAACAGAGTGTTATAAATGCTATCAAATGTAAAACTCACAAGCTCAACCAATAAAACTCTGGTTTGGATCTTACTGTAAAATTCCAGAATTATCACTCCCTCTAGTTTGTCTTACTTGCCTAGTTGCATATGGGTGGTCAAAGCCTACATCTTCATATAAAAACCTTATACAAACATACACATGCATTTGCACATAAAAACAATGCCGAAAATATTCAAAAACATATCCTTCCTGTTGCACATTCAACTCAAAACACACTGATTTACAGTTAAATCTGAATACAGAAGCACATGAACACAGCAAAGCCTGTGCTGTGTTCAATACACGCTGACATTTTCTAAAGCCACTAGATTAGCTGATGAAATCCATTAATAACTACACTGGTTCATTTTACAAGGACTAAGTTATGTCAGAAATGCAATGTGCTCCTTCTATCAGTAAAGGAAAGTAAAAATATAGGAAACTAGATCCAGCATCAGTGCATCACTGTGGATGCAGAGGTCAGCCAACACAGACAAATGAATAATTAAAATAAACAATCTGGCAACCATTCAGCACATTCACAAAATGTATTAGGTCTGAAAACATGGACACAAAACTAATTTGTCTACCTTTTTTTCTTTCACACTGACTGCACACACTAAGAGTAAAAGTGCAAGCTGACTCTAGTTAGTATTAATAATAACTACTAATAATATCTAATGGTTTCTTATTCCCCAGATGTATGTTTATGACAGTCTAAGTAAAACACCCAACATAATCAAAGGCTACAAAACTGTATTAATTTACTATCTGTTTAACCTATAATTCATTGTTTTTCTTTCACACTGACTGCACACACTAAGAGTAAAAGTGCAAGCTGACTCTAGTTAGTATTAATAATAACTACTAATAATATCTAATGGTTTCTTATTCCCCAGATGTATGTTTATGACAGTCTAAGTAAAACACCCAACATAATCAAAGGCTACAAAACTGTATTAATTTACTATCTGTTTAACCTATAATTCATTGCTTAATTGCCTT